GTTCCTCCCGCTCTTTTTCCTGCTCCCTCTGCTTTTTTCCTCGCCTCCACGTGTTGGAAGGTGGGGTCAGGGGGGGGGGGGGAAACGTTAGGAAACAAAACTTCAAGAACATGGCCACACAGCCCGGAAGACCCACACCAGCCAAAATAATGTAACTTCCATTAATACTCAAGATTGTTTTATTCACATTTGGTCCCAATGTTTAGTTACATCACAAATAATTCTACTAGAATTAGCTATAGACATACTTGAATAGGTACCAATAGAAGAGAATTAGGGATGCTTAAAACGTTGCCTGTCTCTCTTTAAGATTACAATGCATTTTCTATATTCTTCAAATTATGTGGGATTTTTTTTGTTTTCCCTTTTGTGCAATTTGTTTTCTTTTCCTATTCTTTTTGTTTGTTTTTATTTTCAGTGTTTTACTGTTCACTGTACATTTAAATAAAATAAAAACAAAAACTCAGATATTATTAGTAATAATAACAGTAACAATGTATTATATCATTTACCTTTAAAAAAAAAAAAGTGAATGTCCCCAAAATTTTCCATGTGCATTAAAAATTTAATGCTTGTGTCTGGGATATAAGATTTCTGACTCATATGTATAAAAAACTGAATATTGACTACTAAGAACAAGATGGCAGAAAAACAAAAAAGAAGGCAATATTTTCATACTAAAATCAGGAAGTCTGGGAGATGCTACTTTTTGTCAAGGACCAGAAATCTCAGTAAATGTTGTGTGTTTGCTATTATTTTTATTATTAGCAACTAAGAGAGGACTTATTGGGAATACTATATGAGGGAGAAGAGATTTAATCCTCTCTGTCAAAACTCTGATCTAGATTTGTGGAGGATTTGTAGCAGGGCAACACAGTTCTGCATTCAGATTGGCCCACCCCTGTTTTCAAACATGGTACAGCCAATACTGAGCTTACGATTATTTCTAATATCATAGAAATAATTCATTTTCTTTTGTGTTAAGCATGGATAAACTTTACAAATTTCAGCTAAAACTTTGTTATATCAATATCTACCCAACTTGATTTAGGGAGGGGAGGATAATCCCTCTTCACCAAGAGGATCAATGTAATTTCACCCTGGTTGATTTCTGGGGGAAGTGCCTGTTCCCCAAAATGCCGGAACACTCAGAGACAATACAGGACAACATAAATGCTTTTAAAAAAAATACATTTAAAAAGTTAAAAGAATTCGTATTAAGACTGCACATATAAATTCCAAATAAAAGCGTTTTAAAGGCCTATACAAATTATTTTTATACAGCATTATCTTTTACTTCAGTCACAGTACAATCCTAAAGTGAAAAGCTGATAGGGCATTCTAAGAAATATTTATGAATAAATTAACTTACTATTCCCCCAGATGTATCTGCACTGATTATCCCTTGTCTTACACTCTCCATTGTAGCAACGTCCCTATATAAAAACAAATTGTAGTCAGAATTGTACCATTCCTCTTTCTCCATAAAAAGTCAGACATTGCCATGAGTTTTGCCCCTTTTACTAGCAAGGAGCAAACATTTTCTCTAATAATATTGTTTGGCTTTGCTTTCAAGGTAGTTAGGAAAGCTTCGTTTTCTTTTCACTAAGCTAATAAAATATGAATGTAATTTTATATTTTGCTTCCATGAGATAGGAGATTTGAGAGTTTCCTTTTTATTAAAGAAGACATTAGAATCTGTGAACTCAAGCCTGAATCTATAGATCCTAAGTTGCAAAGCAGAATTTGAAAGAAGATAAACTTGTGGAATAGAGGTCCAAGTATAATAAAGTAAACTCAGAAGATATCAAATAGAGATTAGAATGTAATCCTAGTAACTGCTGAGAAGAAATAATTCATGCAGTGTCCAGTGAATCTTATATTGGATAGAATAATTAGACCAGGAAATGACAAGAGTAAATTAGAGTCGTGAAATTTGCATAACCATTTACTTAAATAGTTCCTGTATTTAAAGAAAGTGTTTTAAAGCTTCAAGTAGCTAACAGCCAAATAACAATTAAAACAGCATAATCATCAAAACAAAAAAGTAAATAACATTCAAAGAACAGTATTGCCTATCAAGCAAGCAGGAGAAATAAACCCTGTAAAAAGTTTTAACAACTTAAGCAGAATCTGTGCTGAAGCCTTTCTGACAGTGGTGTACAACAGTGGCAGTAATAAACAGGCATTAACTGTATTCATAAGGTGAGCATGAGGCATCTACCTCACAGCTGTGGGAGAGGAACGAGGTGCTAGGAAGACGACATTTTGGGTGATTGATGGCACTGCAGTTTAAGGCTCCAGCCGCTGCATATCCCCCCCCCCTTTTTAACTGAAATTGCTGCTTTCAAAAAATGTACAAGTCTGAACAATTGTTTATTCAGCCTTGCACAACTGATACAGTTTGAAAAAAATCCCTTCCTTAATAGCCATCCAGCCTGCTCAGATAACCCATGTGTACATCCTTGAGTGACATCCTGTAAGTGAAATTGAGAGTACTGCAACTTCCAAAAATACTGTACCTGACAATAGGCTACACTCGTGCCGACTCAATTTTAACTTACCTGATTTGAATCACAAGCAAATCCATCTTGTTTATGAAGATTTGATGGGCACTGAAAGGCAAAGTATTCCTTTACTTTAAAAAGCTTGGAATCATTCCTTAGAATTTACTTGCGCTTTCTGTTCTCATAGGGTTTTGCTGGGTGGCGATTGTTTAGAGATATGGGTGGACGGTTATCTAAAATGCAGATGATACCCAGCTCATTTTTTTATCAAATGCAGGTGAGGTACAGATATTCTCAACTGAGCTTGGTCACAGTAATGCCTTCATAGTTCTGAAGTCCTATAATAGGAGGTTTATCACCAAGCAGTGTTAAACCTTTCTGCAGTGGACAATACAAAGACAGATTCATAACCTGACAGTTTGTTGATCTGAAAGTGCTTGTGTAGCTATTATTAGGTACCCATGGCTTTAATTATTTTTTATCAGTTTTAGATGGTATATCAGCTATAAATATATCTTGGAGAGAGCTTGGCTTTGGTAACTGCCTTCTATTTAGGCTACTATGACTATTTTATATAGGTCTGCCTTTAGAACTGTCCCAGGAACTGCTGTTGTTCTAAAATAGAGTTGTAAAATTACTAATTGGAACTGCGTATTTTGATCAAATTATTCCAGTGTTCCAAAGATCAACAGCCAGTTTAGGACTTCTGCATAAATACTTACCTGGAGCTTACTTAAGATCATCTTGGAAGTCCTTTCTGTAGGCTATTACCAAATGTAATTATATAGGCAGTTATTAGCAATGATCCCTCTTGCAGATGTCACTCTATGGAAGACCCTATTTAAAAAGGCACCTGCTGGTACTCTTTGATCACTTTTTCAGTGTAACCCAGCCCTATTAAATAATTATGCATTTTGTTTGATATCTGAGGACTTTGTCTTATGTTTTATTTTGTTAGAAAGAGTCTTTATAATTAAGTCACATTTTACTACATTTTAATCATATTTTATTCCCTTAAACCATCCAGACAGCATATCTGAATGATGGTCATGTAAAAATGATAGGTAGATATGTAGACAGGTAAGTATATAATGGTTCCTGTATTTAGCTGATAACTTAATTTGATTAAATTCCTTGAAGAGATGTCCATTTTAAAATTGCTTAATTATGTCGAATGTGAGCATCACCAATAAAACTACAAATATAATACCAAAATGAATTCTTATCTTTCATTGAAAAAGGAACACTTCTTATAAAACATTGCCTGATGTGACATGTGTGAAGCACTGAAATATCACCAAAGCATCCCTTTCTCCATATAATAATCGTGTTTATTCAAAGAGTATGCATATTAAATAGAAGAATACCCCAACTGTCTTAAAGCTTTCTTGAATAGGGAGCTTATTATATATACACATTGAAATTAACAATCTGAGCAAAAGCTCAGATCCCAAATTGCTCTTCCACAAATGGAAGGATTCTTTCTACTCACAAAAGGCCCGCACTGGTGGAAATGGGGACAGTACCAATTTTTGCTTATTCCTGCTTCCTCCTGCAACCCTTATGGCCACAACTTTCTAGAGCCGGGGGAGGGGGGCAGAAAAGAGAAAAGGCAAAAACTCCCCCTTCTGCACTTGGAATTGCCTTATGAGAAGAGTTCCTTGCACAAGGATTTGTAATCCCAAGCATTAAAGGTAACATGTGGATCCTAAACCTAAATCTGAATTTGGGAATATGTACATCAGTACAGCCTAGGTTGTAGGCATAGAATGTTAGTTTTCTCCACCCCCTCTCAAAATCATATTTTGGTCCTAGCTGAAATAAGTCTAGTATTGTTACGCAAGACAGAGGGAGAGAGATCAGCTCACTGTTAAATCAATATGGAACATACTCAAAATACATTATGTCATTACCTGGCCAGAGTCACCAGTACAGATTTCTGTAATATCACACTCATTAACTGCATAGCGACATTCAAAGCCTCGGGGAAAAAACTGAAAGTCAAAAGATTTTCAGTTAAAAAACAGCTTAATAACAATTTTAAAAACCAAGCATTTAAAATGTTAGCCCTTTATTAGGTGCAAAAATTATTTCATGTAGAAGTATTATTTTTATCCATTGGTAGGAAAACACCTCAGAGAGTGATATGACTTTCAGTGGACACAATTAAGTTGTTGCACCTCTCTGCCTAGGACTCTTTTGATCCTAACAGTAGCCTCTGGTTTTTATTATCTTATGGAATTACATTAAAAGTTTTCTAATTCAGGGCCACTTAGTAAAAATGCAATTAAAATAACTTACAAGGCAAGTTTCATTACAACACGGACCATCACTGCAATGAGCGCCATTAGAAAGGGAGCATTTTTTACAGCATTCTGCATGGCAATCCTAAAGAAAACACATGGTGATATACATTAATGATAAAAGTTAAAAGAAAGAATCTAGTGATTCACTTCTGCTGACAGAATGTTATGTGCAAAACTTGGAAGGAATGATTCCTTTCCTTAGCATCTTACAGTGTACCCTTGGAGTATATTCTTAAGCGCTGGAAGATCCTCCAGAATAAACTTTGAGATTGCACCAGTGGCTATAGCATAGAATGTAGTGGTCCATGGACAGATTTCTCCATTTGCAACATATAATTCCTTGCTTACATATATACATTTGCAAAATAAATGACATGTTGCCTAATTAATATTTATTGATTTATTACATTTGTACCTTGCTGCAATCTAACAGAATCTCAGAGGCTGAAACTGATAATATTCCTGTACTGAATAATATCATACCATACAACAACCTAGAATATGTGCCAAATATATCATAAAAGGTGGAACCAAAATAATTAGTATAATAAATAATATTTAAAATACTGATTATTTTACTTAGGGCTCAGAAACCCCCAGCCCAGACTGCAAGAATATTTTGTTAACAGTTGGGTCAGGCCACTTGGTTAAAATATTTACATATATAGCTTAAGTGAAGGATCAGAAACATAGCTCTGATTAATTAGGAAAAAAACACAAAGCATGTAAGAGAGAACGAAAATTAGAATTAAGATCTGCTCAGCCTTACACCGAGCAAAACAGAACTCTCCAAATGACACTCCTGCTCTGATGATCTAAAAGGGAGTAGGCAGCAATAGAGGAAGGCACACACTTTTTCCATGTGAAGCAAGGCTGAAAGGGCAGATTCCCACCAAAACCTCAGCTCTAGCTCTCTTTGTAAGGCACGTAATCCATATGTAAGAATAACAGAGACCACACAGAAGGGGTATCATTTCCTTCTTTATTGTTGAAGGGGGGGGAAATTTTCTTAGCCTGGCTTTCGCTATCTCGCCTCTGTATTT